AGATTCTTTTGGAAGAGCTGTCTTGCTGCCATAAAACAGACTCTCATGGTTTCTTTTTTCTCATAGTAAATATTTTGCAGCTGGGTAGTCAGGAAATAAATCTTGACTGAGTTCCCAGACAAAAGAAATGCGCTACTCTTTAATCGTCCAGCTACTGACTTCAGGCTGCTTTTCCCTGGAGGAGTCAGATCAAAGATAAAGAGAAAGTGCACGCACGTAAGCATGACAATCTGAGCAAGCAAGCTTGTAGTCATAAGGCTTAACCTTACAATCTAATACTCAAGGGAGCTACCCTGCTGACGTGAGAAGCTCTGCCCATTTTCCCGTGACAGACTCATATGAATAAACCTTCTGGCCTGCAATTTGCAGAACTGTTCGTGTTTTGCTGGAGTAAAAACAACAGCTTAAAAATTTATGAACCACACAAATTTAGAGGCCTTAACAAGTCATAATTTGAGCTTGAAACCTATTTTAAGTTTTTTCACAGTAACACAGGAGACCATCACAGTACTTTATACATTTTAAATACAGTGTACGATGTACCCTTTTTCCCCCACATTGTTAAATATACAATTACACTCTGTTCCCATGGCCTTTCCATTAAATTTAATAACCTTGTATTTGTGGGTCTAGTAGGAAAAATTGGATATAGGGAAGGTTATAGAATCTCTTTTATTAGATGTTTTGAAGAACAAGTTAGATAAAAATATGTCAAGGACAGTCTAAGCCTACCTTTGCTACAGAGAAAAAGTGGAGTGCACTACAGCTTCTCAGTGTCCGCTCCCGCTCTACAGGCCCATAGTTTCCATGAAGAAAAAGGCCTTTGCACCACAGCTTTCCAGAAGATAGCTTGGGATCAGGGTTCTCTTTGAGGTCAGATTTATAAAACAAGACTGGAATTTCCTTTCAGAGATACAATTATTTCCTAAAAAAGTTCCTCCCAAACTAAAATTTATAAAACCAAATCGGAAAAGTTGTATTAGGTTTACTAAGGTGAAAATATTTATAGTTGTTACAGTTGTAAGACTATTTATTAGGTATTACAAATTAGGTGGATGGAAGAATTAAAGTCTAAACAAAAGAGTAATAATAAGACTGTTTACTAAAACTGTAAATCTAGGTATTGCACCTTTGCCAATATCCTCAAAATTGCTCAAACATCAAAATTATCCACATTGAAAAGACTAAAAGGAAGAAATTAAAGGTGATGTAAAAACTAGCTTTGCTTTGCCAATAGCTAAAAGCTCATCTGCCTCACTTTTTGCCTCTTTTTAATTTTATTTTTCAAATTCATTAATTTTGACCATCCGCAATAAATTAAAAATTAGGTGCATGGGTACACTTACAACATTTTCAAATACCAAAACTAGCACAGGTAACACCCAGACTGCCTATCCTATAAATAGCCTTAGGGCCTGAACATATACAATAGTGAAACAAATACTGTGAAACACTGCCTTATAAAAGAGGGGAGATGGAATTTCCCCCCCCCCCAAAGATAAATAAATTTAAAAATGCAGTAACAGATCAACAATGGTGTTCACCAATAAGAAGTCAGATATCCTCAAGATCTTGGAATTTCAGACTTCCTTATTATTGAGCTATAGGGCTAAGTGCAGACAGAAAGACAGACAGCATTAGACACGTCAAGATTCAATCACAACAGTTAACAGAACTGCTTTCCTCTTGATCTTTTGTGCTTTTTTCAAGGCCATCTTCTCCAGAGGAAAAGATTTACAAGTTGTGCTGTGACTCTAATTTTGTATTTTGATGCCAGAGAGGAGTTAGGCTAGCCCCTTAATGCAGGCTTCAGTTATAGCGACGAGATGCAATCCAGTAAAATGTTCATGGATTGACAAACTCTTTTCAGATATAGGGCTATACTTGGACTGTAACTGTTCAATATTTCTGTTCTAAAGACACACACAAAACGAATCATTTATAAGCTTAATTTTATACTTAATGCATTAGGATAAGAAATAACTTTTAGGAGGCATTAACAAAGTAGTAGAAATTATATACTAGCATATTTTTCCAGATACTTGTGGGAAATGAAAAAATAATCTAGCTATTAGTGCAAGAATTATTTCGTAAAAGAGAGACTGAAGAAAAGATACTTTGGGCTTTGTGATTTGCTGCATTATGCATATGAGTGGAACCTATTGGAGGTGAAAAGAATTGGGTACTGACATAAAGAATTCAGCAGCATGCAGAGACTGGAAAGGCTTGGCGAAATTTGCTTGTCAGTATATATAAAGCAATGAACCAAGATTATGTCAAAATGTCTGATATAGTAACTTGTACAGAGAAGACGGAAAATTAAGCAATAATAGCTCCTTTGTGAGTCAGACAGGAGAGCATTTCGTGCTCCATCTTTTGTGTTATTAACAAAAAACCACTAAGTCAAGTGTCCTCCCTGACATTTAAGAACAGAACACAGTAATATTGGGCAGTTTCATATGAGGTGACAAAATGGTTTTGATTATAGTGGACAGGATTCCCTCCTATTCATTACTCTAGCAATTTTTCTTGTAACTGTGATGAAATGCTTTAAATTTTATGCAACAAATAAAAAGTGAAAAATAAGACTACCCATGCCGAAAGAATAAGCAGATTTTTCTCAGCATCAGAGAGAAACACAGTGTTAGTGTCAGCGTCAGTGTTAGAGCCATCTCAGGTGACCTTAATAGAGACAAGCATATTGCTAGCAGAAGCAAGTAAAGTCAGATGGTTTTGGCACGTCCTATAATACAGCTGTGTGCACTGATACATAAGTGTGTGATGCAGAGAACAAAATTGGTTTTGCATTATGACCTCTTTATCACAATTAATGTCAGTATCAATAGCGATATAGAGAAATTATAGAATCATAGAGTAGTTTGGGTTGGAAGGGACCTTTAAAGCTCATCTTAAGGTTTCAGATTAATTCTGCTAAGCGAGGTACACATTGTGAGCTCTCTGATATGATATACAAAACACCCTGTGCCTTGAAATACGTGCTACCCTTTTTGAGAAGTCACATCTGAATGTTAGATGCTCTTTAGTTTCCAAGCATACGTTTCTGTTACAGGTTTTTACCTACTTCATTCAAAGGAGGAGAAACATATAAAACTCCAGGATTTTCTGGTCTGAGCCCTGCCTGATTCCTTTCTCAGGTTTTCCAGTTTCATTTCACGTTGGGTGTTTATTGCCTCTCTCTTGTGAAGTTGTCATCAGTAGGGATTTGCCAGCACAGCGGTGGGTGGAAGGAAGGGCTGACAAGGGCCGCAGGGGTGCCGTGGCAGTGAGGGGATGCGGCCGCATGCCCTCCCACTTACCTGACACTTGACATCCATGCGACCAGCGGGAAGGGATCCCTTAATCATGGGCCATGCGCAATGGGCATGACGCTTGGTGGGGATGCTAAGGGAAGAAGAGGTTACCGCGGTGCAGAGACTTAAGGTGCAAAACACTACTTACAAAGCAACTTATTTTCTAAAGCCATTAATTGTGCAACATTACAAGAAGCAGGCTTTAGAGAAAGCAGAACAGATTTTGGAAAAATAACCAAGATAGAAGCATTGGTTTTTGCCAGTGCAAGTAGAGCTAGCATAACCTGACATAACACAGAGTGACGGCTGGCAGCTACTGAGCAAGCTTAAAATGCTGCTACTCCTACATAATAATTTATAGCTGATTGCATATGCAAGAGGTGACCATACTTTACAACCATGTAAGCCCGAATTAGTAATTAAATTCTGTGAACAATCAAATCTGAGGTAGCTGTTCTACGGTAGACAAGTAATACCTTCATACTACTAACAGTCTCAGACCACATAACTGGCTGGAGAAATGGAAGCACTGACGGTGTACAGGGAGTTAAAGTGATCTGCAAAAGGAAAAATCGAAGGCTTTCCAGTGCAGCATCTTATTAAAGTGATTAAATTAAGCACAGCTGATCAGGTATTCCTCTGCAGTGAAGAGAGCACAGAATTGTTACCTTTGAGATTTAAATACGTTAGTCTACACTCAGCTTTGCATCTTTATGCAGGTAAAATCTCATTAATGTCTACAAGTTTTTCTTGAGCAACAACAAGAATAGAGCCTGATGTAACTAACTGGAGTGACCACTGTACCACTTGTTCCTCGCTTGCATTAAAAAAACCCCCTCTAACAAGGATAGAGTTAAAAGAGAGAAAAATAAATAGATTTAAGAGAGTTTTGGTTGCTTGCTTTTTTTACTTACCAGTAGCACACACAAGTAAAGCAAGCAGTCATCCAACATTAGGAGGGAAATAAATTTAAACGTTAGGAAAAACTTTTCAGTCTTTCAGCAGTGTAACAGGTGAGGACTATGACAGAAATTTCATTAATTTTAGTGGAGAAAAGGAATGTGTCCACAAATACCAGCCCTAAGAAAGAATACCCAAGCAATTGAGTTTGAATGTAAGTCTTCTTACATGGTGCCTTGTAAATTATTTCCTAATTCTTACACCTTAGGGTGTTTACAAAATTACTAAGTTACAAATTGTGCTGAGGTATCCATTTTGCCATGAAGGCCTAATGAGTGGTTTAACATTTTAAGTTCAGGTATCTGGAATTAGAGCACCAGGTACAACAGCTAACGAGGAACGTAGGAGTTACTGTTTGCTACGCAATACCACAGCACTCTGTGCGTGATAAAATAAGGGGTAACGAGATTTTTCCATCATCCAGGATCATCCCCCATGTCTTTGTTGTTATATAAACCAAATATATAAACCAAACCTTTATTGTGCTGTAAAATTGTGATTGACAGAAGAATTATTAAATAATTGGGGATCTCTGGAGGGCACAGGGCTGTCTTAGATGAGGTTTCTCAGGGCCTTGTCCCACTATTATCCCCAAAGACAGGGAAGCCGCAGCCTGGCTGGGCAGCCTGTTCCTGTGCTTGATTACCCTCGCCTCGAAGTCAGTAAAGTAACGAGCATTGTAATTAGTTACTATTTTCATAGCTTTTCAGTACTATTGAGCACACGCGCATGAGGCCGCGGGGGGTGCTGGACAGCTGCCGACGGCCAGCTGACCTCACCTTTGATCCCCCCCCAGCATCTCCCCGCTGTATGGGGCCTACCCCCCGCTCACGCCAATTAAATCAGGAGGGCCGAATTATCACGGTTGTATTTCGGAGGCAGTCACAAGCACCACCCTCGCACGCCCGTCTTCCACCTCAGGATGCCCTCAGTTTAGCAAAGTGACTTTTACGGTTGGTTTGCCGGGCAGCGCAAGGTGCCACGTTAAACGGCTGCCCCACGCCAGGCCTCCTTTCCACTGTACCTTTTAACGCCTACGTATTTCTGGTGGACAACCCGCACCTCCCTAAAGCCCATGATCTGATTCCACCGAGTGCCGTTAGGGCAGCCCTTGATCCCTCGCTCGCTACCGCAGCTCGTAATCACCGGCCCGGCCTCCGCCGCAGCG